GAAAGTATATAATACTAGAAAAATATGTAGCCTTAAATTTATGCAGTAGAAAAGAAAACGCTTTCTTAAAGCTTATAGAAAAAGAATAGCACAACAAACTTAAAGACAGTAGAAGTAAGGGAATAATGAAGATAAGCAGAAATTAATGAATAGAAAATAATCCTACCATAAAAAACAACAAAGCTAAAAAAAGTATTATATTAGTGTAATTGATAATAAATTAGCAATACTGATTAAAAGGGAAGGAGAAGGGAAGAAATCGGGGGAGAGAATAAAATTTCCAAATATTAGGAATGAAAAAGGATACATGTGTATAGATCCTGTAGTCATTAATTAATGCAAGGAATTTATGAACAATTTTATATCAGTAATATGGGATAGGGAGAGTAAAGCAGGAGTATCGAGTAGTCAAGTCTTAGCCAATCAATAGTAAGAGACACTGTCCTTAAGGTTTGTTGAGTCCTTTGAAAGGTGGCTACTGTGAGTTGAGTTGTCTTATAGGTGGTAAGTACTGAGCAGATTTTAAATTTGTAGATAATTTAGCCGAAAACGGGGTTAGAGCTAGTGCATCATTTTGATCCTGTCTAATAGACTTATTGTCAGGTGCAACTGGCCTTGTTAACTTTGTAAGGACCTTAAGCTTTCATGGTGGTTATTTTTAGGTCTCTACATTATCTACATATAATGAGCAGTGCAAAATATCATCGTGATTAAGAACTTATTCCTCTGACATCATACTGTTTGATTCAAATCCTAGCATTGGTACTGAAGAGTTGTGTGATCCTGATATGTTAGCCAAATTGTCCCTTGAACTTCTGACACCTTTGTTTCTCTCTAATCACTTACAGCTTCTACCATCTGGTCGATAACTCCTTCATACATATTATTTTTTCCTGAGTGTAACTTTCCCTGAACACTCTCTCTGTGTTACCACTTAGCTGTTAGATCTTGAGATCTTTGTTTCTACTTGCTTATTGGGCATAACTATCAGGAAGTTTCATTGGTACACCAAACTTAGTTTAACTAAAATTAAATTTAATGTTCTTCTAGCATTTGTATTTTGTTCAGTTGTATTTTCTTTTTTTAAAAAAATTTATTTCTTGGTTTTAGGTTGACACGATATCTATATTTATGTGGTGCTGAGGATCGAACCCAGCACCTCATGCATACTAGTTGGGCACTCTGCCTCTGAGCCACAACCCGAGTCCCTCAGTTGTATTTTCATTTAACCTTTTGTTCAAGCAAGAATCTGCAGTTTTTAACTTTTTCTTCCACATTAGGTAAATTTTATTTTCCCAGTATCTGTTCTTTCCTTTTGTTTATTATCATTCTCTGAAGGTTGATCTCTTCTGCCCTTTCTCCCCCATCCTTGCTGGGCCAGTTTTTTGCCATAAAGGACTTCTCTTCCTTGCGTTCTTCCCAGCCTGTAGTACAAAAGTATAGGTAAAAAACACAGAGCAGGTTTGGGAACAAATAGGTAAATACAGGCATAATAAATGTGCAAAATAAAAATTGTTGAGTTTAAAAAGGAATGAATGAATGGCAAGCAGACTTAAAGGAAGCTCAGGTGTTTCATCAGTCATCTGGGAAATGTTTTCTGATGCCTGTGGCAAAAGTTAGGTATTTACCAGGTGTGGTTTTCATGTCTTTTGTTCCAGCAGCTTGGGAGTCTGAGGCAGGAGGACTATTTGGGCCCAGGAGGTTTGAGGCCAGTCTGGGAAATATTGAGACGCTGTTTCAGAAAAGAAACAAAAAGTTGAGTTGTTTCTTTGTGTACCTGTAATTGGCATTACAGTTTCTCTTAGGTTATCATGTGTACTTTAATCACGGTAATCTTCTTCACTGTTCTTGACCATCCCTTGCAGAGGGGTTATTATTATTCATTCCCTATGGTTTAGTACTTTGTGGGTTTCATTCTGGATTCTGACTCCAACCAATTGTAAAATAAAAGTTTTTGAAACAGGCAAATTTGGGGTTACAGATGATTCCAGGCTATGAATGATTAGGGAAGAAATTCTTAGTAGATGGGTACTATTTATACAGAGGTAAAATGACGGTATCTGGGATTTGCTTTGTTTAATAAAATTATGATAGAACCACATTTTAACCATTTTAATAAGAGGGAGAAGCAGTGCTGTTTGAAAAAGTAAATAATATTATGTGTAAAAATGATTTCCAACATAGTCTCTTTTTTAAAATAAATTTTTTAGTTATTGATGGGCCTTTATTTTATTTTTTCACATGTTGTTCTGAGAATTGAACCCAGTGCCTCACACATGCTAGGCAAGCACTCTACTACTGAGCCACAGCCCCCAGCATAGTCTTTTTAAAGACTTCTACATTATTTTAACTTTCATACATCTTTTTCAGGAATGACATACTCAGTTGAAAAAGTATAGTCTGTGAACCAAGAAAGATGAAGATGTGGTATTAAGAAATAGGAGCTTCGCCAGGTGGCGCATGCCTGTAATCCCAGAGGCTGGAGAGGCTTGAGGCAGGAGGATCGAGAATTCACAGCCATCCTCCGCAAAGCAAAAGTGAGGTGCTAAGCAACTCAGTAAGACCCTGTCTCTAAATAAAATACAAAATAGGGCTGGGGATGTGGCTCCATGGTCAAGTATCCCTGAGTTCAATCACCGCCTCCCCTCCCCCCCCCCCCCCCCGCCCCCCCTGCCCCCCCCCCCCAATAAAAGAAAATAAATAGAAGCTTCAAGACTATTGTGGTGGCCCATGTCTGTAATCCCAGTGGCTTGGGAGGCTGAGGCAGGAGGATCACAGTTCAAAGCCATCCTCAGCAACTTAGGCCCTAAGCAACTTAATAAGACCCTGTCTCAAAATAAAAAAAAATAATTAAAAAGGGCTGGGGAGTGGCTCATAGTTAAGTGCCCTTGTTTTCAATCCCAAAGAAAGAGGGGAGGGGGATTTCAGCCCTGAGAGAGGTGAAGGAAGGTCCTAGAACAACAGTAATACCACAGGTCAGAGGACTGTCAGTTCAGTTTGCAGTGGGAGAATATAGGACTCTAAGTGTGAGGGAGGGCTATGTGAATATAAGAAAGCTAGTCAATTTTTGATGCATTATGACTGGAAAATTTGAGGGACTGGAAGAGTGTGGGAAGAATTTGTGGTAGGTGTATAGAAAACAAAATGAGTTAATTATGGAGAAAAAAGTTATATGATGTCTTATCAAGTTACAATATTATATACATGATTATATAATTACATTTGTAAGATAATTGTTTTCATGGTAGGAGAAAGGAAAGTGGTATAAGGGAGCTAAGTTATTTTTTATAGGAAAATCACTAGATAATACCTAAACTTGATATTTTAAGACTGTTACTTAAGTGTAAATATCAAAAGTAGAGTGAAAGCTGAAAGATTTTAAAGAATTCATTTTGATGTAAAGAGAAACTATATTTGTGATGTCAGACTATATTTGACTTTAATCACTTTGTACATTGTTACTTAGATGAAAATGAAAATATATGTTATAAAAAGACTGAGGTACAGGTAGCAAGGATTTTCGCCCATCTTGTAGGCTTTTGTTCATGCTCTTGATTGTTTCTTTGCTATTATGAAGCTTTTTAGTTTGATACCATCCCTTTTATTGATTTTTGATTTTACTTGCACTTTAGGGGTCTTGTTAAGGAAGTCGGTTATATACAAGTAATAAATGTTGGTGAGGTTGTAGGGGGAAGGGTATACTCATACATTGTTGGTGGGACTGTAAATTAATGCAGTCACTCTGGAAAGCAGTATGATGGAGATGCCTCAAAAAACTAGGAAGGAAACCACCATTTGATCCAGTTATACCACTCCTCAGTGTCTATCCAAAGGAGTTAAAATCAGCATCCTACAGTGATGCAGCCACATCAATGTTCATAGCAGCACAGTTCACAGTAACTAAGTTATGGAACCAACCTAGTTGCCCATCAACAGATGAATGGATAAAAAAAAAATGTGGTATATATACACAATGGAATATTACACATAAAGAAGAATGACTTCATGACAAATGCCAGTTAATGGATGGATCTGGAGACTATCATGCTAAGTGAAAAAAGCCAATCCCCACAAATAAAAGGTTGAATGTTTTCTCTGATACGTGGATGCTAACCCACAATAAGGGGGTAGGGAGAGAATAGAAATTCAGTGAATCAGGCCAAGGGGAATGAAGGGAAGAGAAGGAAGTTGGAAATCTTCCCTCTGGAATGAATCTGACATAACTCATGAATGTACTATGGTGAATCTCACCATTGTGTATATCTACAAGACTGGGAATCTTAATTAGAATAAGATATATTCCACACTTGTGTAAATATATCAAAATATATTTTTTTATGAATGACAGTAGAATTTATTAAAATAGATTCTACTGTCATTCATAAAAAAATCCAGTTAGAAAAGACTGAGACTGAATTAAAGGTCCTATCAAGGGATTTTTTTTCTTCATAGACTACCTTTCTTCTTTTGATTTATTTCACATGCATTACATGATGAATTTTTTTTCTTATACTTTTAGGGGTTTCTTTATAATATTTATGAAAATTTAAAGCTTTGGGGAAAGTGGGGTTGTACATTTTTAATGTATGTTGTTAAGTAAAATAAAGGTCCATTGACAACTAAAAAAACAAAAACAGATTGAAATTCTAAAAGTGAAAAGGCTTGTTTTTGTTGAACATCTTTTAATAATTGACATTATTAAGAGTTATGAGTAAAGTAGTGATAATAATGATAAAATTGTTCAAAGCATTGATTGGTTTTACTTGCAAAATTACATTTGCCTGAGACTTGAGTCCTTGTAATATTGTCTTGTTTGTCACCACAATTCATTTAAATTAGTAAAGACAACATTTTCATGGACAGTTGAGAAAACTTAAGGAAATCTGTGTGGAAAGTAATAATCTGAATTTGTATCTCTTTGTAGTTTGCTAAAATACATTGTAATCATTTCTTGATTTTAAAGTTGATCTTGAAATTGTCCTTTCAATGTCTTTTTCTAGGATAGATTCACAAGACTATTTCCCTAGTGTGGAGCTCCTTGGGTAAGAGTATGTCGTCCATCTTGCCTTTCACTCCGCCAGTGGTGAAGAGACTGCTGGGATGGAAGAAATCTGCTGGTGGGTCTGGAGGAGCAGGAGGAGGAGAGCAGAATGGACAGGAAGAAAAGTGGTGTGAGAAAGCAGTGAAAAGTCTGGTGAAGAAGCTAAAGAAAACAGGACGATTAGATGAGCTTGAGAAAGCTATCACCACTCAAAATTGTAATACTAAATGTGTTACCATACCAAGGTAAGTGTTGTAGATCTGAAGTTTGATGGTCTCTTGTTGAAAATTGCTTTTGGGAACCTGAAGGAAAGTTATTGAATTTTCGTTCAAGTTACTGAATTTTTGTCAAGTCACCTCAATAGTGATTATTAAAATATGACTGTTTTTAACCTGTCATATTTTATTTTACTTGTGAAGTCTCTTTATTTTACAAATCATTTTCTTGAACAGTGAGGTTTAGTCATACAAGACTTAAGATATATGTAGTAAATTTTCATTGCCTAAATTTATCCTCATTTCTGTGGTTGGATATTTGAATAAAGATTCAAAGCTCTTTCTATTTCTAGCAAATGATAACTGATAGTTTTCTCCTCCCTTGGTCAAAACTTCAGTCAGTAAAGAGTTAGAGGAGGCTGCTGACTTTTAAAATGAATTTTATATAGTTTTTGCTTGAGTTGCAACATTCCTGCCAAGAAAGAACAGTATATGAGGCAGCTCCTTAAATGTTGTATGTAATAATGAGACTTCGTCTTGAAGTCTTTTATATTGGAAAAACCTATTACTTAAAAGGTTGAGGTTTTGAATGTAAATTTAATCATTTACAAATAAGTACCACTGTTAGAAGTTGTTTTTTTTTTTTTTTTAATTAAGTGGCAGGTATTTTAAAAATGTTTCAATACTTTATATAGTTTTTTTGTGTGTGTCAAAAATATAAAATTTTCTAAAATGATTGTTTTCAGTGTCGTGTGTGAGCATATAGTGTGTGAAACTGTTCTACTTGACTTGCTTCCAGTGAGCTTTGAGAAATATACTCCTGATGCTTGTAGATAATAAATCCCAGTAACACCAGCCTGTCTGCTTGCAGATGCTCATGGTAGACTATTTTCCTGCCTTGTTTGGTTGACTAACTGTCCATTGCTGCTGCTTTACTTGTTTCATGTATATCTTATATAAGTCATTGGTCTTGGTTTATTCTTCTGTTTTACAAATGCTTATGGATAGTCTGCTGAATGCAAGGCACTGTTTCCAGTCACTGGGGATACAGTAATGAACAAAACACATCCCTTCCCTCCTAGGGGACAGATACACACACTAAACAAATGAACAAATTAATATAATTTGACATGGTAATGAGGGCAAAGAAGACAGTATGTGCAATGTGATATGATAGAGAATGCCTAAGGGATGGTAAAGCTGCCTTGGCTGGATGGTGGTGCATAAGCTGAGCTCTGAGGAGCAGCGGCTCCTTGAGGAAGTCTTCTAGGCAGAGGAAAGAGCCTGAGTAAAGACCCTCTGGTGGGAAATAGCTTTTTGTATTAAAGATTTTAAAAGGAAGTGGAGTGTAAAATTTGGAAAGAGTTTGATCATATAGGGAGTTCAGATGTTGGTCTAAATAGAGAAGGCAACTAAAAATTTCTTAATAGATTTTAACCTTTTTTTAAAGAATTTCAGCAGTTCCTTTTTAACCAAAATCACTGATCCCTGGAGATAAATGCTGGGGGTGGGATGTGTGTAGTGAGGTGGATGGAAGCAGGCAATTAGGATGATGGTGGAGGCTGGACTGGCATGGCTGTACTACCACTAAATGAATGGATTTGGCAGGTAATTTGGAAGCCGAGCTGACAGGACTTGATGGTGAATTGCCTAAGAATGAATCTGGTTGTATTTGCTGAGTGTTCATTGCGTAGGTGATGGTCATTCACCATTCACATATTAAATGCCCACTGCATGGCTGATATGATTTTCCTCACCAAACTCAAATTTGCTCTTGAATTGCTTGCCTTCTAGTAAGGGAAATAAACTTTAAAAAAGAAATCTTCTGAGTTTTGGTAGGTGTCATAAAAGAAAAATGCTCAGGGAGTTATGTACAGAGGAGGCTTGGGAAGCTGCCTTCTGGGAGAATATTGTGCCTGAGTTGAATCTGGATGGTGTAGAGGCAGAATTAGTCAGGAGAAGCCTGTTGGCTCAAGTGCATCACTGTGTAATTGTGGAAGTAGGGGGAGTTGGTGAAAGTTTCTCAGCAAACAGGTGTCCTTAGAATGTCAGTGAGGAGCAGCAGATGGCAGAGATGACTCTAAAAGATAGTTAGGAATCCCAGCAGCCTGTGCTAGGAAGTTTACACTCAACCTGAATGGGATTGGTGAGGGTGGAGTCATTGGAATCTTAGGTCGAGAAAGCCCAGAAGTCAGATTAATTTAATACAGCATCAGACTGTAGTGAAAAAATGGATTCTGAGACAGTCACAAGGGGAAGTGATAGGAGCCCAGTAAGTGGATTGTCACTGCATCAAAAGGAGATGGAGTGTGGTTTTGCACATCTTCATCCAAGGCTTGTATTGCCATTGCGTGATGAGTTTCACAGAGGAGCTCGAGGGTAGAGCTTTTTTCAAGGAGATACAGCAGGTAGTGAGTGGCCTGACGGTTACAAGTGACTATAGGTATATATATGCTATGGAAATCACTCTAGTTTCATTAAGTTTTCTTATTTTCTGTTCTTTTTATAGCTCTGGGGATTTCTTTTCATATTTTTTAAAAATAGTTTTTAGTTGTAGATGGACCCAGTAGCTTTCTTTATTTTTATGTGGTGCTGAGGATTGAACCCAGTGCCTCACATGTGCAAGGGAAGTGCTCTACCACTGAGCTTCAGCCCCAAGCCCATCTATTCATATTTTTATAGCTTCTTTATCATTAGACATTTTTTTCCCTCTAGCCTTTTATCTGATAAATGAAAGTGAAGTGATGGCTGTTCATTAACAAAAGGTTTTTTTTTTTTTTTTAAATTTAGAAGCTTGTTTATCTCCTTTGATGTGTGTTGGTGTTTTTTAAAATGTAGATGTTAGAGTTAATTGTAGTCTGTCTGTCAAAAACTGTTAGCTTGCCCTAAGGTGTAGTCATTCACGTCTATAATTCCAGCTTCTTGGGATGCCAAGGCAAGAGAATCACAAGTTCAAAGCCAGCCTAGGCAACTTAGACCTTGTGTCAAAATAAATAGGCTGAGGATGGAACTCAGTGGTAGAGCACTTGCCTGGCATGTGGGAGGCCTTGCATTCTGGTGATTGAACTGCTTTTCCTCCTTTCCACCCCGTTAATTTCTGTGTCTTACAACTTTTTAATGGAACAGTTATTATTTATTCCTTAACCACTAAAGAATATTCTTAAACATCATACATTTTAGATGACATTCAGGCAACTCTTATATATGTAGAATATAAAAAAGATGGGTAGTGGGAGGGGAAAAAAATTTTTTTTTTTTATGGGTAAGTCCAAACCTTAGTTTAAACAAAACTATTTAAAATGGATTACAAAAATGGATTTGGTGAAGCTCATTTACTTAAAATTACAAGGTGATAATAAAATTCATTAAAATTGTATAAATCTAAAAATACATTCAGTTGATGAAGAACACAAGAAATCAATTAATGGATTTAAAAAATAACAAGTGTTTTCAGCTAAAATACTTGTTTTGTTGTCTTTTAGTGGTTTCCTCCCTTGTGCCCTCTGCCCCACTAATATTAGGGTGGGATTAAAGTTAGAGCCCAAAGATCTTGCTATTAACTTTAAGCTCCTCCCATTCCCCTCACCTAATTACTCTGCTGCCTCTGGAGGTTTGGAAGCTGTAGTTAGATATATATCACTACTGCTTCCTTCCTGCCATTGTGTTTGGTGACACAAAGCATTTCAGTGGTAGAACTTAGCCTGTGTAAGGTGCAATGGGCTCAATAACATAAGGTTTCATGAAGCTTTTCCATTTCAGTATTTTTAAGACTGAGGAAAAGGGAAACAACTTAGTTATAAAATCAGAATGGTAATTGATATTTAGTAAAGAATCAGACATAAGAAAAAAATGGCTTTCAAAGCATATTAGTTACAATAATGTAAAATCGAAACTTGTTAGGGATGGAGTTGTATAAAAATTTAAAGCATGTTACTCTGGGGCCTATATACAGTTTTATAATTACTGTACATTATAGAAACATAGAATTTATCATTTTCATAAACTATTACAGGGGCTTTCCTAAGGTGATGCTTTGAGCATGTAGTCACACTTTTTATCTTTTATCTTAAGGAATCAGACATATTGGTCAACGATTTCTGATATTCTTTCAGTATTGTATACAATAGCAAATTATTACCAAACAAACTCTTCACCCAATCCTGACCCTTAGTTTTCTTAACTAATAATAAGGAAAATTTAGCCCATTTCATTTTATACCACGGTTAAACAAGAATAGTAAAAGAAAAATTTCTACCAATCTCACTTGTATAAATAGATGCAAAAGTTATAACTGTCAGAAGCTGTGATTTAGTGGTTTATGAAAAAACCAAAAACATAACTAGGTGAAGTTTATTGCCAGCTTTCAAAGTTGATTCAACTGCAAGAAATCTATTAATATAAGGTGCTGTATTCATATTTTAGAACATAATGATCTTGAATCTAGAAGGTTTTAATTCATTATTCATATTAAAAATCAGAAATAGGAATTTTCTTAGTTTGATAAAGATACATCTAAAAATATTACTCTTAATCATGGAACTTGAGTGAGAAATATGCCAAATTGTTAATAGTGGTTATTTATGGATGACCTCAAAAAGTGATAACCTCAAAAAGTGATAACCTGTAGTTTTCCCCTAATATTTATATGTAAAAGCATGTCTTGTTTTAATTCCAGCACAATTAAATTTTTATATAGAATTAGGGGCATTTTGATTTTTGTCAACTTAAGATAAAGCTTATTACTTTTTGTATTCTTTGAAGTCAGTTTTTCTGTTAAAGGACAATTCTGTTTCCATTTTCTTAGTGTCATTTTAAAAAATACGTTTGAGTATTTTTGCCTTCAAAAATTATTTACTTAAAAACATAAACATAAAATAGTGTGTGTACATGATGGGAAAATCAGCCACAGAAGATATAGTAGGAAAATAAGTATTGTTCTTATCCCTGTTCTCTTGTCACCCAGTTTTTTCTTCTCAGTCATAGCTAGCTTGTAGTATTACTGATGTCTCATGTGCCCTTCCAGGATGATT